AGCCTGCCATTTATTGCTCCAATAATGAAGATTTTTTCCCTCTTTATCTGGACACAAAAAATCTTGAAACCAACTCCAGTTTATGATTAAAAGCCAGCGTTATCCCAAGAGAGTTTTTAAATTTACAAGTGAATTGCTTTATACCAATTACTTAGGGTAAGTAATCAACAACAGAGCAGCTGATAATAATCAGTAGCTTATAAAACTGGACCCCATCGTTTTAAGTCATATGTTGGAATGATTGGTTGCAACTGAGCATCTCCTTAAGAAACTCTAAAAAGGGAAACTTGTACAGGGCACAACATTTTAAAATCCAGAGTTTATCAAGTATCTGATTAAAAAAAAGAAAAGATTTCTCTATTAGCGTATTTCAAGAACTTTCAAGAGGATTCCTTGTAAAATACGGGCTTTTTTAATGCTTTCTCTGATAAATTCACATTTTCCAAAAGTCAATTGGGTCTTTAAATAGAAACTACCGGTATAACTAGCAATATTGTTTTTCAAATATTGTAAATCTTCTTTCTTAATTCTACCTCGGGTAGTTTTGTTATCATTTTTTAATTCATCAGCTATCACAATTCTATCATTTTGGAATGGCAATAGCATTAAATACATTGTTTATCATTTCACTCATATTTCTTTGACAAATTAAATGTCTTTTTCGTTGAGTCTAGTTCTTCCTGATGTCACATTGCTAAGCAACTCGAAGGAAATTCAGGAACTTCTCTGTTTGAATCCTCTTTTACAATTCAAATAAGGGGGCAGCATTCAGTGAATGGCCAACAGAAATAGGTAACAATAGCGGGCAGCGTTTCCCCTCTTTGAAACTGGGCATGAATGGGAAACTCAAGCAAGGCGCACGCTGGGCGGGGAGGCCGAACACTCAAAGGGGCCTCTGTTTTCCTGGATGTATGTCAGAATTTGAAGCTGGTCTTCATGCCAACGCAGTCACGCCTTCACAACTAGTCTTAAATGAGATGGTTTGGAAGAAGATGGTTTCGTTAGAAGCGCGCGCACACATTCTTTTCTCCCCGAAGATGAAAACTTAAAATTCAGCAGAAGGCAGCATAAACTTACCTTTAACAGAAGCTGAATAGGAGGAAATGAAGCAGAGGAAAAGCACGGCGAGGAGAATCATACTGGCTCGCTAGCGACCCTGCCGTGCATCCACTGCCCAGCGCAGAGCCACGGCCAAGTGGGCTCTTCGGAAAGCAGGCGGCAGTGATCCGCATCCGCACCTGCAATCCCAATGTTTATCTCTGAGGAAAGGTCAGATTCCAAACTCCAAAATCAGGACCTAAGTTCGCTGAGGTGCGCACGATTAATGATTAAACTTCGGTGGGCTGTAGTTTCCAAGTCTCTCCCTTCTCTGTAATCTTTTTTTTTTTTCCACTCACAAGGAAAATCCAGAAAGTTTGAGAGTTAACCCAAACTAATCTATGTTTCAATAAAGACAGAAGCACTGGAGAACATTTCAAGAAAAGCTGGTTGTGGGACTTCCCTGCCTACTATAATATATCATCATTAAGCCTGTATGCGCCTATCTCCACATGTCATTAATTTATGTGGGAGAGTGATGGGGATTCTCAAACTACACTGAACACAAATGAACTTTACCATTTCTTCCTTGGTTACCTTTGGACTTTTCATACTATGTACACGCTCTTATAAAAAGTCAATTTACTAGAGTGCAAATGTTTAGAAGATAATGCTGGCAACATATGTACAAATATGCTTGACATAATTGATGTATGGATTGTTATAAGAGCTGTAAGAGCCCCCAATTAAAATGATCTTTTTTAAAAAGTCGATTTGAATCATAGAATTTCAATTTAAATTAAGTTGTACCACCATCAACTGTCTTGAAATAGGGGTAATAACAACGGGAACTCTCATTCCTGAACCTAGAAGATCATCCTCATGTGTGAAACGAGAGGAAGTCGGAACAAATCAACACTGTCTTGAATGTGAAGGCAGCGGTGGTTCAGTGGGACAATATTCGTCACCATCCATGCAGGAGACGTAGGTTTGATTCCCTGAAGTCCTTTGAAGGCAGTGCACTTTGAGTGCAGCTACCATTTGTCTGTCCGTGGAGACAGACTTAGGTTGCTATGATGCTAAACAGGTTTCAGCAGAGCTTCCAAACTAGGAAGAATGGCATGATCCTCTGTGGGCACTGGGAAAATCAGCCAATGAAAACTCGGAGGATCACAATGGTCCAACCCATTGTTCACGCCCCTCATGAGCTGAGGGCTGACTCCGCAGCACTCGTGTGCTAACATTTTAGAGCACATTTGGTTTGGGCATAGTAGACCTGTTATTGTATGCATCTATACCTATGACAAAAATATCATCCGAGTCCCCAAACTGGCTAGATGGAATCCTGAGTCCCATTTCCAGGAAGCATTTCAGTGGAGAAATCCCAGCCTTAAGAACTTTCGCCACAGAAAATTAATTTGGCGAGTTCTCTAGGACTAAAGGGAATACTCAAGTATAGCTAAGGCGCCACAGACTGACCCAAGTTTCATGCCTCAGGGAACTGTGAGAGACACCCGATGTGAAGGAAATGTGAAGGAAATGAGCTTGTTTTGGGCACAAGTAGGGATTACTAGGCAAAGAAGTGAATAAAGTGCTGGTGAAGGGCTATTTTAATATATTAAAAATAATTATTGTCCTGTTCCAATCTAAAACGAGTCTCTGAATCTATACTGGGTTTTTTTTGTTTGTTTGTTTTTTCCCCTCAAAACTCTTTTTCCTAGGATCCTATCCTTGAGCCTAAATCTTCTAGACAACCCAAGTAGATTGTCAGGGTTACAAAATGAAATCTAAAATACAAAAATCTCCAAAGTTAAGGACATTTCCTCTTGAAATGTATTTTCACATGAAAGATGAACATTGTTTGTGTTACTCTTCTACACAGGTTAGAAAAACCATCATTTGTTATTGTTCTGTTTACCTACTTTGTAGCTAAATTTGCTATTGTTCTGTGTATCTACTGAAGTAGCTAAGTTTGCTATTGTTTTTCAGTAGCTAAACATAATATGTGTTGCTGGGTCTGTCACTTTAAAATTAGAAAAACTTTGTTTTCTTGCGGTTAAATTTTTCTGTTTCTTTCTTTTGCAAAAACTCTTTTGTTGAAGAAACAGAAAATTTTGAGAACTGGCTTAATTGTTGTGGTGTTCCGTCAAATCAATTCTGACTCCCCGTGACCCCATAGGATAGGGTAGAACCGTTCAAAGGGGTCCTTAAACTGTAATCTTCACTTCCAGATTGCCAAATCTTTCCTCGTAGGGAGCCTCTGGTAGGTTCCAAGCTCCAGTTTTTCGGTTAGCTGCCAAGCTCGGCACTGTTGAGTCACCAGGGTTCCTTTGTGAACAATAGGCGTTGGGGACACAGGGCAGTGTGAAGGTGATTTATTGATTTAGTTTTTAATAGATTCCTTTGTATTCTCACAATTCATGCATTACACAATAGGAAAAGAGACCATTATAGTCACTTAAACCTTATGCCTTTTGCAAGTGATTATCTAAACCAAGGACTTGATTCTCTGAAAACTCTTGTGGGAGACTCATAGTTGCACAGACTTTTAATGTTTGGGGTTAGACTATGTGGTCCGTGATACGTGTCTCTTCGGGTAAAGTACTATTCGTTGTCAGGTATTTACCATAGTCCAACCAATAAAAGACCTATCACTATTGCCTAACAAAAGAAATGCTGTTCCAATTGAGCACTTACTTTTTACTGAAAGGCTCCTATGAGTCACTGGACTAAGGAATCATTTCGATCTGGAATGCTAAAATACAGCTACTTCTGTCGGTAATAAGCAACATGACCATTTTCTATTTTACTTGTAACTTCATCTTTTTACAAAAATGTTAGGAAGAAAGCTAGCTGGAGCTTGTTTTAGCAGAGATCAAATGGAATACCCAATCCCTTTTGGTATTCAGTGAAGTCTGGTGTCAAAGAAGAGCTGTTTTTCCTGCTGTTGATCAACCCTATCAATAAATGTAAATTTCCCAAAGTGGAGCAGAACAGACACAGTACAATGTATTAGGAAGATAAGTGCCAGACTTCACCGATTATTCTATAAGACTTGTGAAGCAGGCCAGAAGCACAGTTTATGCAGAAGTAGTAAGTGTTATCCTTGATGGATGATTACTCTATTCAATACACTAGGATAAGCATTTCCTTTTGTTATGTTTTGTTTTTTGTCTTTAAGTAAATCCTGACAACAATCATTTAACGTAGTCGAAAAATGAGTATTCTAGTGAGGTGCTTTTAGTAGTATATAGAAAACATAAACTGTCAAATCTAGTTCCCATATTCTTTTTTGATTAAAATACTGAAGCGATGAGGTGAGAAAATTGAAAGTCTTGGTATTGTATGAAATCAGGAGCCTCGGTGTCACGAAGGGTGCAGTGCTAGTTTGCTCACCACAAGGTCAGTGATTGAAAACCACCAGCTCTCCCATGGAAGAAAGATGAGGCTTTCTGCTCCCACGACGATTGACAGGAGCAATCGGCTTGTTGGTAGTAAATTTTGTAATATAAGTAATTCAGATCATCCTTTAACATACAACTTTCTATGGAGGTGAGCAGAGCACTTAATTGTGATGGTAGGCTGAATAAATATTCAGGTCAAAATGAAATGAAATCAGATTAAAAATCATGCTGTTGCAATAGTATTCCTTTTGGTAGTCATGACACTGCAGTACCATTTTTGCAGCGATAAAGAAGGAGACTGAATAAAATCAGTGACTGGTTCCAAAGTACAGTTGTGTCTCTGTTGAGTATCAGAGGTTGTTAGGTGTTAACCTCATTTCCTCGATTTGAAGATTAATGAACTTCACTCTTTTAAAAGGTTGGAAGGAAATAAAGGTTGCATCATTATATATAGCTAAAGAAATTCAAGATGTATGATAGCTATAGAAATATAACATCAGGGTTCTTTACTTTGTTCTGATTAGACTTGACATTGATAAAAATTTCATTTGTAAAAGGACACTTGAGCATACCGCTACATGACCATAATTTAAAATGTAATAGTATTTTCAATGCAGTGAGGAAGTTAGCATTTGTGAAGGAAAGTTGCAAAATAACATATTTTCTGGCAAAGAATATTCTTATATGATAATCGCTTCTTTACCTCATAGAAATTATAGAGGATACATGTAGTATTAAAGAAATATATTGTATAAGGTTTCTCCTAGAGAAATTAAAGACTCATTAAATGTATTGCCTTAACAAATATCAACTTGAAATTTAGATTAAACACATTTGAAATCTGATAAGGGAAAAGAAGTATAATTATTTCCCCCAAACAAAATTACCTGAGATTTACCCTTTCACACACACGCACACATACACATTTAACAATAATGAAAAAAATGTTATTGGTCATATTTTTACCACAAGAGGAATGTAACTTTACATTGTCTTTGGCCACACCAGACTGAGTTTTTAATGAATGAATGAAACTCTTAAGAGAAAATTGTTCCTTTTGGTGAGAATAATTGTGTTTGACTTTTCAAATGAAGATTCTTTCAGAATTTAAAACAATATACAAACTAACACTAAACCACACTCACTGTCATTGAGGCAGTGCTGACTCATAGCAACCCCTGCGTGTTTCTGAGACTGTAACTGCTGATGGGAGTAGAAAACCCAGCCTTCCTCTCCCAGGGCTGCTGGTGGTTTTGAACTGCTGACCATGCAGATCACAGCCCAACATGAAACCACTACACCACCAGGGCTCCGTACACAATAAACAGGCATTCCAAATTTAAACACAGCTGTTGTTGCTGGGTGATGAGGAGTTGGTTCCAATTCACTGCAACCTTAAATACAGCAGAATTAACACTGCCCTGCCCCACGCCATTCTCATAATTGTTGGTGTGCTTGATTCTGTGGTTGCCGCCACTGCGTCCATCAGTCTCATCAAGAGCCTTCTTCTTTTTCACTGTCCCTCTACTTTACCAAGCATGGCGTCCTTTTCCAGGAACTGGTCCCTCCTGATAACATGCCCAGAGTGTGAGACAAAGCCTGGTCACCTTCCTTTCTAGGGGGCACTGTGACTGTGCTTTTTCCAACATCGATTTGGGTTGGTTCTCCTGGGAGCCCAGGACACTTAGAATATTCCTCATTCACACCGTAATTCAAATGCATCCATTCTACAGTTTTCCTTATTCGTTGT